GAATGCGAATTCAAAGGAAAAGTAAACAAAAGGCAAAAAATGAATTTAAAGAGGAAGTGTCCCTTTCAAGAATGAAGAAAGGCTTATCTGGGGTGCATGCAGGCTTACTCTCTAATGTTGGAAAAAGCGACCCTAGGGAATGGAGGCCCTATGTCTGAAATCTCAACTTAGGGATTGGAGCCCTAATGTTGGCAAAAAGGCGACTGGGGAACGGAGGCCCTATGTCTAAAAATCTCAACTCAGCAATTGGAGCCGTAATGTTGGCAAAAAGGCGACTAGGGAATGGAGGCCCTATGTCTAATAATCTCAACTCAGGGATTAGAGCCCCAATGTTTTCAAAAAGGCGACTAGGGAATGGAGGCGCTATGTCTAATATCTCACCTCAGGGAATGGAGCCCTAATGTTGGCAAAAAGGCGACTAGGTAACGGAGGCCCTATGTCTAAAAATCTCAACACAAGGTTTGGAGCCCTAATGTTGGCAAAATGGCGACTAGGGAACGGAGGCCCTATGTCTAAAAATCTCAACTCAGGGATTGGAGCCCTAATGTTGGCAAAAGGAGACAAGGGAATGGAGGCTCTATGTCTATAAAGACACAAATCAGGGATTGGAGCCCTAATGTTGGCAAAAGGCGACTAGAGAATGGAGGCCCTATGTCTAAAAAGGCACAACTCATGGATTGGAGCCCTAATGTTGGCAAAAGGCGACTAGGGAATTGAGGCCCTATGTCGAAAAGGCACAACTCAGGGATTGGAGCCCTAATGTTGGAAAAAGGTAACTAGGGAATGGAGGCCCTATGTCTAAAAATCGCAACTAGGGATTGGAGCCCTATGTTGGCAAAAGGCGACTAGGGAATGGAGGCCGTATGTCTAAAATCTCAACTAGGGATTGGAGCCCTATGTTGGCAAAAGGCGACTAGGGAATGGAGGCCCTATGTCTAAAATCTCAATCTCAGGGATTGGAGCCCTAATGTTGGCAAAAGGCGACTAGAGAATGGAGGCCCTATGTCTAAAAAGGCACAACTCAGGGATTGGAGCCCTAATGTTGGCAAAAGGCGACTAGGGAATGGAGGCCCTATGTCTAAAAAGGCACAACTCAGGGATTGGAGCCCTAATGTTGGCAAAAGGCGACTAGGGAATGGAGGCCCTATGTCTAAAAAGGCACAACTCAGGGATTGGAGCCCTAATGTTGGCAAAAGGCGACTAGGGAATGGTGGCCATATGTCTAAAAAGGCACAACTCAGCGATTGGAGCCCTAATGTTGGCAAAAGGCGACTAGGGGTGGAGGCCCTATGTCTAAAAAGGGTACAACTCAGGGATTGGAGCCCTAATGTTGGCAAAAGGCGACTAGGGAATGGAGGCCCTATGTCTAAAAGGCACAACTCAGGGATTGGAGCCCTAATGTTGGCAAAAGGCGACTAGGGAATGGAGGCCCTATGTCTAAAAAGGCTCAACTCAGGGATTGGAGCCCTAATGTTGGCAAAAGGCGACTAGGGAATGGAGGCCCTATGTCTAAAAAGGCACAACTCAGGGATTGGAGCCCTAATGTTGGCAAAAGGCGACTAGGGAATGGAGGCCCTATGTCTAAAAAGGCACAACTCAGGGATTGGAGCCCTAATGTTGGCAAAAGGCGACTAGGGAATGGAGGCCCTATGTCTAAAAAGGCACAACTCAGCGATTGGAGCCCTAATGTTGGTAAAAGGCAACTAGGGAATGGAGGCCCTATGTCTAAAACTCAACTCAGGGATTGGAGCCCTAATGTTGGCAAAAGGCGACTAGGGAATGGAGGCCCTATGTCTAAAAAGGCTCAACTCAGGGATTGGAGCCCTAATGTTGGCAAAAGGCGACTAGGGAATGGAGGCCCTATGTCTAAAAAGGTTCAACTCAGGGATTGGAGCCCTAATGTTGGCAAAAGGCGACTAGGGAATGGAGGCCCTATGTCTAAAAAGGCTCAACTCAGGGATTGGAGCCCTAATGTTGGCAAAAGGCGACTAGGGAATGGAGGCCCTATGTCTAAAAAGGCACAACTCAGGGATTGGAGCCCTAATGTTGGCAAAAGGCGACTAGGGAATGGAGGCCCTATGTCTAAAAAGGCACAACTCAGGGATTGGAGCCCTAATGTTGGCAAAAGGGGACTAGGGAATGGAGGCCCTATGTCTAAAAAGGCACAACTCAGGGATTGGAGCCCTAATGTTGGCAAAAGGCGACTAGGGAATTGAGGCCCTATGTCTGAAAAGGCGCAACTCAGGGATTGGAGCCCTAATGTTGGCAAAAGGCGACTAGGGAATGGAGGCCCTATGTCTAAAAAGCACAACTCAGGGATTGGAGCCCTAATGTTGGCAAAGCATAAAAGATTGATATTGGGATTCTAAACTATCAATTTTTGTTTGAATTTTCTTCTTTTTTTTAATGAGATGCAGTAAAGAACTCGGAGGAAACTTCCCTTTGGATTGATTATTCGCTGCAAAGCTGTTTCAGCACCTGCGCATTTCTTTTCTTTTTTGGGTTGCACCTGCTTCTTGCACGGTTGCTTGTATTGCACCTGTTTCAATTTTCAAACAAAGAACAATTGTTAGTTTGAAACGGTGGTTGGTTTTGTGGCCTTGATCGTCTCAATTGCTTGATCTCGGCCTAGCTTCTGTTGAGAACCTCTGCTGTTTGCTGGTTTTGAAGATTAATCTCTCTTTCAAACCAAAAGGCTCAACTTTTGGTATTTCATGACGACTCGCCCGCGTGGGGCTTCGACCCTTTCACTTTATTCTGCCCTTAGGGCCTTTGTCCTTGACTTTCTTTTTCCTTTTCAATAACTTTGCTTTCAGAGCATCAACCATCATGGCCAGTCGGGATCGGCTTGACGCACCCGCTGAGGCTGGGTACTTTTCTTTAGCTTTTGTTAGGCAGAGCCCTGTGAAGCCAGTCTTGCCACCTTTTCTTTGTATTAGTTTCGGAAACAGAGTTAGACCGAGATGGATTCAAGGAAAAGTAAACAAAAGGCAAGAAAATGAATTTAAAGAGAAGTGTCCCTTTCAAGAATGAAGAAAGGACTTATCTGGGGTGCATGCAGGCTTCAAATAGACATGACATGCTTCTTGGACTGGATGCCCGACCCGCACAAACTTTCCCAACTTCTCATAAACTCATTGACTCGTGTTTAAAAACCAGGGAATCTTGCCAGGACTCTTTCAGTGGTGGGAAATGTCTTCTTTTCGGCCAATAAGACTCTCTCATTTTATTTCTCTCATTTTGATTGTGTCAGATTCACACAATGGTGTTTACCGATTCCAACGCCTTTTCCAATTGATCGGAAGGACTTGGACAAGGTTTGGGTAAAAAGAATCTAGATGGAATTACAACTTTGGAACAATTGTGGTGGGCTCATTACCGAGCCATTATATCATCTGCCCCAATTTTACTTTTGGGGGAAAATGGGATTTTTGTTTTGGTATGACTGAACCCCAGAGAGAGGCTGCCTACGTATCCTTTCGGAATCAAGTCAGACGTACTTCAGGGAAAACATTTTGTTTTGTTTTTGTTTTTGTTTGTTTGTTTTTTTTGTTTTTTTTTGTTTTTCTGTTTTGTTTTGTTTTCTTTTTCTTTCTTTTGTTTTTGATTTTTTTTTCAATACACTTTCGGGTTCCAAGGAGGGTAGCCAAAGAAAAGTGACTGGCTCAAAGGGTTTGCAAAAGGTTGATAGTGTTTGGATAGCGAGAATAAAAGCCTTCGTCATCCCAATCAGACAATGTTGTCGCTGCAGAAAGACTAAACATAGTACCTCTTTACTGCATCCGCATTCACAGCTGCTTCGGGATCATTTCCTTCGACATCTCCCAAGTACCATGCTCCTCTCGGCAATATCTTTCTGATGATGTATGGGCCCTTCCAATTAGGAGCAAATTTTCCTTTTGCTTCCTGGTGATGAGGAAGAATGCGCCTTAACACAAGTTGTCCCACTTCAAAATTCCTGGGCCGCACTTTCTTGGTATAAGCACGAGCCATTCTTTGTTGGTACAACTGCCCGTGGCAGACCGCAGCCATCCGCTTTTCATCAATTAAGGTCAGCTGTTCCAGACGAGTCTTAACCCACTCACTGTCTTCGATTTTAGCTTCAACAATGATCCGAAGGGAAGGGATTTCCACCTCCGCGGGTATCACGGCCTCAGTGCCATAAACCAAAAGGTACGGGGTTGCTCCTACCGATGTGCGCACCATAGTGCGATATCCCAGCAATGCGAAAGGCAACTTTTCATGCCATTGCCTGGAGCTCTGAATCATCTTTCTCAAAATCTTCTTGATGTTCTTGTTTGCTGCTTCAACGGCACCATTGGCTTTGGGCCGATAGGGAGTAGAGTTCCGATGGGTTATTTTGAATTGTTCGCATATTTCTCCCATCAAATGACTATTCAAGTTTGCATCATTATCCATGATAATAGTTGCAGGAATGCCAAAACGGCAGATAAGATTGGAGTGCACAAAATCTACCATAGCTTTCTTGGTGACTGATTTGAGAGTGATTGATTCAACCCACTTCGTGAAGTAGTCAATGGCAAGCAGTATGAATCTGTGTCCATTTAAGGCTTTCGGCTCAATTGGCCCAATGGCGTCCATGCCCCAAGTGACAAATGGCCAAGGTGCTGACATGGGATGTAGTTCTGTGGGAGGTGCATGAATCAAATCTCCGTGTACCTGACACTGATGGCACTTTCGAACAAACCTGAAGCAGTCCTTTTCCATGGTTATCCAGTAGTAGCCCGCTCGAAGGATTTTCTTTGCTAAAACATACCCGTTCATGTGGGGTCCGCAGACTCCTGCGTGTACTTCATGCATGATCCTTTCGGCCTCTTCGGCGTCAACACATCTTAACAGGTTGAGATCTGGGTCCTTTTGTATAGGACATCACCGCTTAAGAAGAAACCACTTGCATGCCGTCTGATGGTTCTCTTTTGGTCTCCACTGGCTTGCTTGGGGTATTCTTGTGTTTTTAGAAACCTTTTGATGTCATGGTATCATGGCTGGGTGTTTGGTTCTGCCTCAACCGTATTACAGTAACCATGCCTTTCCTTGATTTGGATTTCCAAGGGATCAATGTGGGCGTTGCCTGGGTAGGGCAGCATCGAGGCCAGAGTGGCGAGTGCATCAGCTAGTTCATTGTGAGAACGAGGGCTGTACCTGAACTTTATTGACTTGAACCTCTTGCTAAGATCTTCCACATGTTGCCGATAAGGATTAATACTAACATCTCGGGTTTCCCATTCTCCTTGGGCTTGTCGGATAATCAGATCTGAGTCTCCCATAATCAACAATTCTTCGACATCTTGGTCGATTGCCATGTTCATACCTATGATGCAGGCTTCATACTCAGCAGTGTTGTTTGTGCAGAAAAACCGAAGCCTAGCTGTGGCTGGATAGTGCTGGCCAATGGAGGAGATCAAGATTGCCCCAATTCCTACACCTTTTGCGTTTACCGCTCCATCAAAAAACATCTTCCAAGCAGTAGTATCCTCGGATATTACCTCGACTGAGTTTACCTCTTCATCTGGGAAGGAAGTGTTCAAAGGTTGGTACTCATCATCAATCGGGTTTTCAGCCAAATGATCTGCCAACGCCTGGGCTTTCATTGCCGCGCAAGTGACATAGACTATGTCAAATTCAGTGAGTAGAATCTGCCATTTTGCTAATCTCCCTGTGGGCATAGGTTTTTGGAATATGTATTTCAAAGGATCCAACCTGGTTATGAGGTAAGTTGTGTAGGCTTGCAGATAATGTCTCAGCTTCTGAGCGACCTAAGTTAAGGCACAACTTCTTTCCAGTAGAGTATACTTAGCTTCATAGCTGGTAAACTTCTTGCTTAGGTAGTAGATCGCCTGTTCTTTCTTCCCGGTTACATCATGTTGCCCGAGGACACAGCCGAAAGAATTTTCCAAGACTGTCAGGTACAAGAACAGAGGTCTCCCTGGCTCTGGTGGGACCAAGACTGGCGGATTTGACAGATATTCCTTGATCTTATCAAAAGCTTCTTGACATTCATCCGTCCACTTAACTGCTGCATCTTTCTTCAGTAATTTAAATATGGGCTCACATGTGGATGTTTGCTGAGCAATGAACCGGCTGATATAGTTTAATCTGCCCAACAAGCTCATCACATCTTTCTTGGTTCTCGGAGGAGGCAAATCCCGGATAGATTTTATTTTTGTTGGATCTAACTCGATACCTCTCCGGCTGACTATAAAGCCCAAAAGTTTGCCCGATGGGACTCCAAATGCACATTTGGCTGGGTTCAGCTTCAAATCGTATTTGTGCAACCGTTTAAAGAATTTTCTCAGGTCTCGAACATGGTCATCCTGGGTTTTGTACTTGATGATTACGTCGTCCACATACACCTCTATCTCTTGATGCATCACATCATGGAAAATGGCGGTCATGGCCCTCATGTAGGTTACCCCAGCATTCTTCAGACCAAATGGCATGACTCTGTAACAGTATGTACCCCAAGGTGTGGTAAAAGCTGTCTTTTCGGCATCTTCTTCATCCATCAACACCTGGTGATATCCTGCGTAACAGTCCACGAAGGACTATATCTCATGCTTGGCGCAGTTATTAACAAGGATGTGGATGTTGGGCAAAGGGAAGTTGTCCTTGGGTCTTGCCTTGTTTAAACCTCTATAATCCACACACAACCGGGTCTTCCCGTCCTTCTTTGGAACTGGGACTACATTAGCTAGCCATGTGGTGTACCTAACCACTCGGATCACCCCCGATTTCAACTATTTCGTGACCTCTTCTTTGATCTTGTCACTCATATCAGTTTTGAACTTTCTTTGCTTTTGCTGGACAGGTGGGTAATCGGGGTAAGTCGGCAACTTATGAACCACCAAATCGACACTCAGTCCTGGCATGTCGTCATACGACCAAGCAAACACATATTTGAACTCAAGCAAGAGTTAGATTAATGCATCCCGGGTTTTCTCATCTGTATGGATGCTTATATTGGTTTCCCTGATTTCTTCAGAACTTCCCAAGTTAACCAGCCTAGTATCATTTAGGTTCGGCTTAGGTTTATTCTCAAATTGTTCCAATTCTCGATTTATTTCCCTAAAAGCCTCTTCTTCATTGTATTCCGGTTCTTGGTTCATTATTCACAGTTAGACAGCGTGTTTGGATCTGGGCATGATGTCCGCAAGCATGTCGTATTATTTAAAGCCGCATTATTAGAACTGAAAGAAGAAATAAAAGAGAAAAATAACAAAATCAGAAAGAATAAAGAAAGATGAACGATGAAATATTGATTTCATTTCCTGAAATTTGAAGATAACAGGGTTTACATTTGGAAATTAAAAGACAAGAAACTAAAGGAAACATCCGAGTTACACCCTAGAATAACTCGCGATACAAAAAAGTGGCAGGACAGGTCTACCAGGACCCCCGCCTGATTGGGAATGGCATAGCCTTCCAATTCTGTAGCTTGGCACCAGGTCCCATATACAGCACCTCAGCGGTGCTTGAGCCCTCCCCTAGCTGGATCATGTGGGTTTCATATAGTATCTTCCTCATTTCCCCACAGATCTCTTCAATCTCTTCGGCCATGAAGGCCTCATCCTCTTCTTCTTCATTGTACTTTGGCTTGACAAAGGTCTCATACAGATGTGGCAGTGGCTGAGGTAGAACCCATCCATCATTCTTTCTCTCATCTGCCCACTTTATATCATCTGGGGTGGGGTGGAAACCTATCCCGAAGAACTTCTCAGTGGTAGGCAGGGTAACCGATTCAGCTATTCCTTGCAGGGATTTTCCAAGTTTGTTCCTTGGTTTGAAGCCATGTCGGATCATTTCTTTGGCCACCATAATCGAGGCATTGGAAAGGAAGGGTTGGGGGCAAGGGTTTCCTTCTTTATACTGGTCTACCACCACAACTTCAAAGGCCTGATAAACTATGTGCTCACTCCCCTCTCTCGCTTCAAGGCAGGGGACTGATGGGTCCCGATAAATTGATTGTTCATCCTCCCCGTGAACCACGGTCTCCTGATCCTCGTGTTCAAATTTCACCATTTGATGGAGAGTGGAAGGTACTGCCCCTGCTGCGTGAATCCAAGGCCTTCCCAAAAGAAACTTATAGGATGTGTCCATGTCTAGCACTTGGAAGGTCACCTCAAAGTCCACCGGGCCAATGGTCAGAATCAGATTGATTTCCCCAATTGTGTCCCTTTTGATACCATCGAAGGCTCGCACACAGACATTGTTGGGACGAATCCTTTCAGTCCCAATTTCCATACGCTGTAGTGTGGAGAGTGGGCAGATGTCTACCCCAGAACCTCCGTCTACCATGACCCTCTTTAAATAGTATCCCTCACATTTGACAGTTAAGTGCAAGGTTTTGTTGTAAGCGGCCGTCGTTCTTGCTGAATGAAATCTGATTGATGGCAAAAAATCTTTCCGCCATTCTTTCTAACTGTTCCACCGAAGTTTCAGCTGGCACGTATGCTTCATTGAGGGTCTTCATTAAAACCTTCTGGTGTTCGGGGGATTTCATTAGCAAAGATAGCAAGGAGACTTTTTCAGGAAACTTTCAAAGCTGGTCAACCACTTCATAATCTGCCATCTTCATTTTTTGAAAGAAAGCTTCTGCCTCTTCAGCACTCACGGGTTTTTTGGCTGGGAAGCGCTTCCTGGTGGCGTTGTTCACTTCTTCCAAATTGGAGTACTTTTCCACAGTGTAATTTTCTTGAACCTCTCCTAAGATTTCCTTGCCCTTATACGTCACCACTGTTTTATGGTAGTTCCAAGGCACCGCGGTAGGATCAGTCATGGGCCTTTGTGGCGCGCGGCCAATAACCACGGGATCACTCAGGCTTGGTGGATTAGTTGGGCCCCGCACCACATAAGCTCCCTTGGGCACGTATATTTGGGTTGCCTTTTTCAATTCAAATCTCTTTGGAGGACTCAAAGTCAACTGCTTTTCGTTGCGGCCTCGTGGGACATATAGAACAACATCTTTGGGAGGAATTGCCCCCGTTCCTACTTCAACTTTCTTTTCTGGTTTTGAATGGGTGGCTTTGTTCTTTTTCTTTTCCCCTTCATCTTGCTTTGGGGAAATTTTTGGTTTTCTCTCCACATCAGCAATGGCAATTATGGCCTTCAGTGCCGGATCAAATTCTTTATCTTCGCAAATCATTCCGATTACTGGCCCGTTGTTGTGGGCCGGCAGTGGGTTATTAGTCACGTTGGGGACATCCTCATCCCTTAGCACTATCTTTCCTTGTTCTATCAAGTTCTCCACTGCTCTTTTCAAGGTCCAACAATCATCCGTATCGTGGTTACCATGAAAAACCAACCACCGTTTCTATAAAACCTGGACTGGAGGTGACAGCAACAAACGGTTAGTTTGAGACAAATAATAGATAGGTAATCGCATGTTGGGGTGTGATGCACCTATACAGTTAAATGGGTTTCTACATGTTTTGCAACGGTTGCATGCTTCATCCCGACTTTACTTATTCTTTCCCATTTTTCTTCTTTCGATTTTCATTCTTTTCATCTCTCTTTTTGTTTTTCTTTTCTTTTCATCTCCTACCCTTTTTCTTTTCTCAATTTGATTGCCTCTTTTATTTTCTTTCTTTTGGTTGTGGTCGAATCCTATGGAGATTGCCTACGTATCATGACCCCGCATGAATCAGACCGAGCGTAGTTCTAGAAGTTTAAATGCTAAAATTAAGGAAACAATTTTTGGGATTCAATTTTTCATTAATAAAAACTTCTATTACAAAAGATGTTAACTACTCATTTTCTTGGAAAGAAAAACAACAAACAGACTCAAAAGAANCCTAATGTTGGCAAAAGGCGACTAGGGAATGGAGGCCCTATGTCTAAAAAGGCGCAACTCAGGGATTGGAGCCCTAATGTTGGCAAAAAGGCGACTAGGGAATGGAGGACCTATCTTTAAAAAGGCACAACTCAGGGATTGGAGCCCTAATGTTGGCAAGGCGACTAGGGAATGGAGGCCCTATGTCTAAAAAGGCACAACTCAGGGATTGGAGCATTAATGTTGGCAAAAGGCGAATAAGGAATGGAGTCCATATGTCTAAAAAGGCACAACTCAGGGATTGGAGCCCTAATGTTGGCAAAAGGCGACTAGGGAATGGAGGCCATATGTCTAAAAAGGCACAACTCCGGGATTGGAGCCTTAATGTTGGCAAAAGGCAACTAGGGAATGGAGGACCTATGTCTAAAAAGGCACAACTCAAGGATTGGAGCTCTAATGTTGGCAAAAGGCGACTAGGGAATGGAGGCCCTATGTCTAAAAAGGCACAACTTAGGGATTGGGGCCTTAATGTTG